CAATCAGTAGGCTTTAGAAGTATAATTGAAATCCACAAAAGTACCCAAAAATAAGAATAAAAGTCCAATGTGACAATAGACTGTAGCAGTATCAAGTAAAACCATTGTGATTGGAACATGTATGGACTATGGAGCAATGGATACACCGCATCACAGAAGATTTATTGGTCGAAGAAAAAAACTCACATGTGATAACCACAATTGCTGCCCATATTAATACCACTGATAACCTGAAATGATAAATCACTAAATAAGTATCATAATGCACAGGAAATGCTTATGACTCTACACAATGCTCTTAAGGCACAGATGCTGATGACATACTGCAGATTAAAGAAAAATATTGGCAGGATGTAGAAATGTCAAATGTGGAGATTGAGCTGAAAAACATATTGGTTTGATGAATAAAATTCTATCTCATTATCAATCATAACTATAGGATAATGGAGAAATAACAGCATATAGAGAAAATCAATACATTGTATGCTTTCCCGATCCGTAGTAGACATAAATGCATATCCGTTTGTTGAGATAAATATCATAGAAGATCTAAATAAATACGGGGTAAAATACCAAATCAGGAACTGAAGAGAAGAGAGCTTTAGATATTCCCAGCGAAGTGCAATCTGCTGGAGTTCCTGTAAAGATATAAAAAGTAGGGGCCGAACAATGTGTCGGTTATATTAATGAAACTTATACATAGTAGTATATTTGTAGAAAAGAAGGTTATGTAAGTTGAAACTGAAAGTTCAATTTTATAGCAGCACTTTCAAACATTTATCAGGTGTACATCAAACATAACAATCTTTTCCTTTAAACTGAAAGGCAAAATGCCAAAGTAATGTACACAAGACAGTATTAATGAAAAATGAGCATCGATAAGTATACAGTGACAGGAATTAAAGCCAAATGATTTACTGATATTTGCACTAACCACCAACTGCAAAGGCTGTTGCACCACTAATTTCCACTCGCTTGACAGGGATGGCATTACGCCATGTGATGCTATTACTAACTGCTGACTTTTCCCTGATAATATAGTTAAATAAGTATTACAGAATATAAAAGATTTAGACATTTAAAAAAAAAAACAGCGGAAACTTGTGAAGTGTCAACGCCAATATGTTAAAATATCAGCACGGAATCAAAACCAAGACATTAAAGATTCAAAAATGCATTTCTGGTACACATCATTAAATCATAACACACGCGTAATAGAAGGAGAGTATGGGTGTACGAGTCAGGAGCGCAAACAAGGACGTTGAACCGATTGGTAGATATGAGGACACGAACAAGAGCTCTCAAGCCTGGAGCGTCCATTCCATCGTCATTCGTTACCATCACAGTAGGCCGATCGATGGGGGGTAGCAGCTTGCTCTCCATTGCAGCCGGCAAATTCAAAGTCAAGCGCGGTTCAAGTTCAGGTAGCGGGAAATGATTGTGTGAACGAGTAAATAATTTGGGATATGCTGCGTATCATATAGGATGTTTTTACTTGACTGTAATTTGCTGGTCTGGTCTGATCTGGTCTGGTAAGATCTGATTTTTTTGTATTTTTATAACTATCCAAGTCTGGTCTGGTCTGGTCTGAACTGGTCTGGTCTAGTCTGGTCTGGGGCAAATTACAGTCCAAGTAAAAACACCCATACTAGTATGTTATACGGAGTACGTAGCAGTGTGTTCTTATTGGTCCCAATGTAAAACACACATTTTTTCTTTTTGGGTCGTCCCAATATAAAAGACACATTTTCGTTTTCGGTAAATAAAATAGTGTCAAACAGTCTCCAAACAGTGCCAAATAATGTCAAACAGTATATAAACAGTGCCAAACAATGTTCCTCGTTAAAATGTTAGAAAACACAAATGTGCTCTTTAGATTGGGACGGGGATATTAGATTAGTTCGCAAAGATTCAAATCAGATCATCAAAATAAATATTTCAACATCAAAATAAAGTTTAGGGAAAACTGTCAAATAGGTCCTTGAACTTTCATAAAAAGGTCGATTAAGTCCTTTTATAGGAGGTTATGTCCGGCCATCGCGATTTGGGCAGTTTCCGGTGGAATTTTTTGATGAAATTTTTTGAGCAACTTATTCACCAAATCTAGTTTACTCATACCAAATTTCAGCTAAAAATTCAATCGGGAACACATATAAATTAATTCTTGAAGATAATTGCGTATTTTTGCGTTCTCGAATTAATTTGAATGCGCTCCCGATTAATTTTTTAACTGAAATTTGGTATGAGTAAACTAGACTTGATGAATAAGATGTTCAAAAAATTTCATCAAAAAATTCCACCGGAAACCGCCCCAAATCGCGATGACCGGACAGAGTCTCCTATAGAAGGACTTAATTGACTTTTTTATGAAAGTTCGAGGACCTATTTGACAGTTTTCCCTAAAGTTTATACATGATATATTACTTTAACCCTGACTAATGGGTTCTCTATAATATATAATATCAAATGTATTTAATTTTATATTTAGAAAGCTTTTAGATTTATTTTGTTAATGTGAATAATTAGTTTTATATTCTTTTAACTCTGACATTAATATTTTTTTCTAATTACATTGATTTTTTGACAGATAAATAGAGTGATTTAAGATTCAGAGATGGACTAAAAACAAAAAAACTTATTACATGAATGAAAAACAATTGTAAGAGAATAAAACAAAGTGAATCATATTTGCAGGAATCAAAAATATATTTAAACATATTCTAATTGTTTGATTTCAATAATCATTTGATATAATGGACAAGGTACAATAGAATTTGTCATTTCGGTAATGCAAATTCTACCATATCATACATTGTCCGTGTAAATTAATTAAAGGAGAAATTTGTGTTTGCACACCACTTTGTGGATGATATTGAACTTTGCATCTCATTTTCAAAACTTTTAGACTTTGCACCGTATCTACAACATTTTGTGAAGAAAAATCCTGAATAGGGTGCGAAAGCAAAGACATTTCAAGACAAATAGAGTGCAAAGTCTAAGAGTTTTGAAAATGAGATTCAAAGTCCAATATCACCCAAAAACGGGGTGCAAAGTCAAAATATCTCTTAACTGAACTATTGCAATAAAACAATTATAAAGTGTAAATTATTATATAATCTGTAATAATTACCGTAAACCTAAATTAGCTGAATCGGTTGATTCTCATGTAATTTATGAGTTTTGATTGAAACGACTCAACTAATTAATTCGGTTGATTCATGAAAAAAAAATAAGAAGATGGCTCTATAAATCTATAATAACTTAAATCAGGAAAGTATTTTTAGAAATTTATACTCTATCTGTCTCATTTTACTTGTCTTACTTTCTTTTTTGGGTTGTTTCAAAATAAGTGTCGTGTTTCTTGTTTTGAAAAGAAATATATGTTCTATATCATTTCATTTTATTATACTCGAATCTTTACAGCAACATTTACTTTTCAACTACTACCTCTGTCCCACTAAGATTGAGACGAGAGAAAGTGACATGATTATTAAGAAAAGTGAGTTTGTGTGGTTGATATTAAATTGATAAGGTAAGAATAAAGTAAGAATCATTTAGAGCCACGCAATCTTTACCAAATTTGGTATGATACAATTTTAGTGGGACTTCCCGAAAAGGTAAAATGGGACAATTTTAACGGAATAGATGGAGTACTTTATTAATAATTGTGTCGAGTGAGAGACACATAACACAGGATGAAGGTGGTAGTATGAAATTACAAAAATCTATTGATACTCATTTTTCATACACACACCTACACACTCATGTTTGTCAAGAGTATTTTTTTGTCTGTATACAAACATAACTGATGGAGTATATGGCCCGGAAACCCCCGGCCCACAGACTCCTACTAATCTATCACAAGCCCAACAAGCCCAAGGAGCTCAGGAGGCCCAAGATTCGGCGGCCCAAGTGTCAAGAAGCCCACAGTACACACAAGGGTGCCTTCGGCCTCCTTGGCTGAAGGCTCCAAAACTCACAGAACCGCCATGTTCGACCATGCGAAGCTACTGGAAGAAAACGGCAGAAAAAAGGAGCCTTCAGCACTGTGGAGCCTTCGGTACCAGGGAAGCCCTTGGCTGAACCAAGCCTTCGGCTACACGGGGCCTTCGGCCACATGAAGCCCTCAGCCATACATGAAGCTCTCGGCCATATATAAAGCCTTCGGCCATACATGAAGCCCTCGGCCATACATAAAGCCTTCGGCCATACATGAAGCCTTCGGCCATACATGAAGCCTTCCGCCATACATGAAGCCCTCGGCCATACATAAAGCCTTCGGCCATACATGAAGCCTTCGACCATATATGAAGCATTCGGCCATACATGAAGCCTTCGGCCATACATGAAGCCTTCGGCCATACATGAAGCCTTCGGCCATACATGAAGCCCTCGGCCATACATGAAGCTCTCGGCCATACATGAAGCCTTCGGCCACACAGTGCCTTTGTCCACACGAAGCCCTCGGCTACGCGCGAAGCCTTCGGATAAACGGACTCAATCATCGAAGATTCCCTTTGGAGACAGCCAACCACCGCATTTAATGCGACGTCACATCCACCCACCGCATTCAATGCGGTGAACATGCCGCTGCCGGTGCCACCCCAGTTGATGTGACCCTTCGGCCGTTGGATCACTGACACGTGTACTCTCATCGCATTTATTGCTGCTTTAAATAGCAGCTCATTCCTCCTTGTAAACGATCTCAGATCCACACGCCGAGTTCATTTAATAAATCGACTCTCTCTCTTCTCCTATTTTACTCTGACTTCTCTCTAGTTATTCCCGCAATAACCCTCGGATAAGATACCCCGGGTAGACTGTCCATCAATAACGTATTTTCAAATATGTTATGTCTGTATACAGACAAAAAAATACTCTTTACAAACATGAGTGTGTAGGTGTGTATGAAAATGTGTACTCATTGTTATTGATCAAATTATACGAGGATCACAAAATCAAACGGACTTGAACACTGGGTACGGCAATGTAGTGCGTATCGAAATCAGAGGCTGTAATTGGTCTAAGCCGCATTACCTTATCCACAAAAATCCATATCTCACCATTTTCTTATCATCTCACCTCTTCTTCTTCTTCTCTCTTTCATCATTTCACAACTCACTGCTTGCATACACATGGCAGCCCAAGCGTCTCTCTTCACCACAACGCTCTCCGCCGCCACCGATCGTGTGGCGGCTCCCTGGAAGCAGTCTCTCATCTCCTTCTCCCTCCCACCACCAGCTCTAACAAAGTCCGGCACCCGATGCCGCCCCGTCCGATCCATGGCGGAGGGAAAAACGAAGGCGCCGGCCAAGGAGGCGCCGGCCAAGGAGGCGCCGACCAAGGAGGCGCCGGTAGCCTTTACTCCTCCAGTTCTCGATCCGAACACCCCGTCCCCGATCTTCGGAGGCAGCACCGGCGGCCTCCTCCGCAAGGCCCAGGTTGAGGAGTTCTACGTCATCACCTGGAGCTCCCCCAAGGAACAGGTGTTTGAGATGCCGACCGGAGGTGCCGCGACCATGAGGGAAGGCCCGAATCTGCTGAAATTGGCCAGGAAGGAGCAGTGCCTGGCTCTAGGTACTCGGTTGAGATCCAAGTACAAGATCAATTACCAAATTTATAGGGTTTTCCCCAACGGGGAGGTCCAGTACTTGCATCCGAAGGACGGAGTTTACCCGGAGAAGGTTAATCCCGGCCGCCAAGGAGTGGGGCAAAACATGAGGTCGATCGGAAAGAATGTCAGTCCGATTGAGGTCAAGTTCACCGGTAAACAGGTTTATGAATAGTGATTTCTGTTTTCCTGTACGTTCACTGTAATTCTCTGTTCAGTCGGAAACGGAAATGTATTGATTTTATACTACGTACGTATAAGAATGCATACCTAATTTAAATGTCTTGGGCTCTTAGCTTAATACGGAGTACTTCCTATTTATTGGTCAAACTCGGTCTCCATTCAACTTCTTATTTAGGGAACGGCAAATTGGATGTACCTCCTCACATGATTAAAGATATATTTGGGAGTTTGAGGGAAGGGAAAGGATTGGTTTTGAAGGTTAGTTGTAAGAGGAGGAAGGGGAACGTGAGAAGAAAAGGGAATGGAAGAAATCCCTTATTTTTGTTTGGAATGGTTTACGTTTTTTTAGAGTAAACCACATCACATTAATTTAATAAGAACAAAATATCATTAAAAATTACCCCACTTGAGCATCATTTGGCACCTCTACTATACCGGAAGCAACCATTGCCAAATCATTCTCGGTAATTACGTTATTCCAACCTGGTTCATTCGCCCATAAAATAGCCTCTCTTACTACCTATACTTTTACTTCCACTGAAATTGTATAAGTTATACTCCGTATATAGTTTTTTTGAAAGGAAACTAATTGGGTAAGGGTCAGTTTGGTCCTCGAAGTTGCAAAAAAGGAGTCAAATAAGTTCTTATATAGAAGATTCTGTCCGGAAGTGTCATTTGAGGTGGCTCCCGGTGGAATTTTTTGATGAAATTGTTTGAGCATCTTATTCATTAAGTCTAGTTTACTCATATCAAATTTCAGATAAAAACTCAATCGGTAAGACATTGAAATGAATTCTTGAAGATAATTGTGCCGTTAAAAGCGTAGTTATCTTCAAGAATTCATTTGAATGTCTTCCCGATTGAATGCTTAGCTGAAATTTGGTATGAGTAAACTAGACTTAATGAATAAGATGCTCAAAAAAAAATATCAAAAAATTCCACCGGGAGCCACCTCAATCGGCACGTCCGGACATAATCTTCTATATAAGGACTTATTTGACACCTTTTTTACAAGTTCGAGTACCAAACTGACCCTTTACCCGAAACTAATTATATCATTCGGAGTGGTATTCAAATGTAACAATATTCCCATAATCTTAAAATGTCAAATCTCCCTTTGAGGTTCCGGCATTCCGCATAACCAAACGGTCCACCTACTCTCTGACTAGACACATAATAGATCATCCTAAGAAAAGAGAGACTATTAAGAGTTTCGAGGCTTTGCACGGACATACAAATAGGGGTGGGCATAACGGTTTGGTTTAACCGAACTGAACCGTACCAAACCGAACTAAACCGAACCGAACCCGAACCGTATGCAATTTGGTTTGAGTTTGGTACTATTTCTTTCAAACCGTATTAAACCGAACCAAACCGAACCGAAACCGATAAAAACCGAACAAAACCGAACCGAACTAAAGAAACTCAAAAAAACTTTCATATATTATTAAAGTTGGTGGTTTGGTTTGGTTTATTTTGGTTTTGTTTACTTAAGTAAACCGTTTGATAAACATTTGCTCAAACCGAATAGTTTGGTGCTTTGGTTTAGTTTGATTTAAAACGGAAAAACCCTAAACTGAACCGAACACCAAACAACACACACATATATACACTTTGTATTTATCTTAACGCTTCATTTTTAAGATATAAATAAATAATTTAGACATGAAAATACATATTTAAACATATACTCGTATTATTTTAATTTTTACATATTTCATACATTCATTATGACAAAGTTAGCTAATACGACATATTTGTACGGAGTATTTATTATGTTTGGCGATAACAATAGCAAAATGCATTTATATTATTACATGATTCATTTGAATAAAATCGTGAATATTACAATATCTGTATCATCGACTCTTTTAGATTTTTTGAATATTTTATGTGATATTATAAATGCTAATCAACTATCTTATTTTTTGTAAGAAGTTTATTTTTGTAGTGATAAAAAAAGATGTTAGAAGTTTTAATTTATAATATTTTGTCATTTATTTTTCTGTCTTTTATTTACTTTTACATTTTTTTTTAAATAATCAATAAATTAAAAAAAAGATGAGATAGACTACTACTTTCATTTTCTAATTCTAAAATATATATAAAACTTGATCAAATAAAATAATAAACATAAGCAAACGAATCAAACCAAACTAAATTAAACATAATATTTTTTACTTTGGTAAACCGAACTTCAAACCGAACCGAACCAAAACCGAACCGAAACCAAACCGAAACACAAATGGTTTTAGTTTGGTACAAATTCTCCCAACCCGAATAAACCGAAACCGAACCGAAACCGAAGAAAACCGAACCGTAAACCGAATTGCCCACCCCTACATACAAACTTTATCCCTTGCACTCACAATCCTATTTTGAATAATGAAAAAACAACATTTCATAATTAAAAACCTGAAATTGAATAAACCAGGATTAAATAAAACAAACCAACGGAGCGGCCGGATCCAAATTTCAAGTGTCGACTTCCAAACCCTAGCCATACGGTTCCTCCATGGCAGCGGTTCAGGAGGGGATGGCTCACGAACACTTCTACTTCATTCTCCACACCTGAATCTAAAATTCTCCGTGCCACATCAAGCAAGTCCTTCCTCATTCATCTTCATGCTGCCATAAACATGGGCCAACATCACCACCCTGTTCTGCCCTTCGGATCTTCTCCATGTTAAATTTGTTTACTCTTGTGCGGATCGAATAGCGCTAGCTCCGAACCCAAACGTTCGCGGGCTACTGAGTTTGCACACAACCGTGCGAAACACAGATGCGCAAAAGCTCATTACCCAAAAACCTTTTGAGAAGAGGGCACTCACAACCTTGCTCTACAAAATAGCAAAGCTACCGAAAACCCAAACCTCACAAACTATTCGCATCTAGGGAGAAACCCTAGGCACCCGTCCGCTCAATGATGTGAACTAATACTCGAAAAAGTATGAATAGTTATGAATCAAATTGAACTTTAAATAGTTTTTTAAAGTTCTTTAATAAACTCTCTTCAACCTTCCATTCCCCTCTAAAATTTAAGATATCAGCCTCACTTAAAATATTACATTTGAATAACTTAAGTAAAAATAAATGATAAAATAATGAGTGGGACCAATTAAGCGCATGAAAGGTGGACCAATAAAGTGTAGTATATGATACAGTAGTTCTTATACATTTACTTATTTGTCTCAATATCTCTCTTCGTCTCATTGAACTTCGCTAATTTTCCTTTTTTTCCCTTTAAAGCGATAAATTTGTGAATCTCTCCAGTTTTCTTTCATCTGCACAAATCTCAATCATACAATTTTATCTTTACAATTCACACCCAACATAAACTTGATAAATTTGAGTATCACAAGAAATTAAAGAATGTATATAAACAATAATGATAAACATATAATTATATGTGAAAAATGCAATTAGTTAAAATGGTTGGGTTTTTTCGTTTTAAACCTATTATAATATCCTTAATTGGGATGATACTCAAACGTCTGACCTCCACTTTAAAAAAAACAACTAGTCCGTATGAATTACTCCCTCCGTATCAAATTAATTGATCCGTTTTCCTTTTTGGGACGTATCAAAATAAAAGTCTCATTTCCCTTTTTTGGAAATAAACTCACCCAAAAAGCAGCTACAGTACCGCTACATACTGCTACAGTACCGTTACAGTACCAAAACCTCCTACTTTACATATATGTGTCTTAATTAAACTACGTGAAAAAGCATATGGGTCAATTAATTTGATACGGAGGGAGTATGATAAGCTCAATATGTATAGTACTCGATCTGTGAGTAAAATATATAGCCATCATGAAATCATACTTTACTATCCCAGTTTGATATTAACACATATTAATAAACACTTTTAATGCGGGCGGGAATAGATAATATTTTTCAAACATAAATTTTACTTTAATGGTTTGCTTGTGTTGTAAAAAAGAATAGCATTGACTATGTTGTCTAAATTTTCTTCTTCTAGCCCCAACCAACTGTACATTTGGTAGGTGTAGTTGGCCTAATTGTGAGTTTGTGACGGACGATCTCCCATATCTTATTGTGGATGGCAATTAACCAAAGTTGATTCAAAAAGTTAACTTCTTGCCACAAGTCAATTCTCCAGCCGAGGTGGAACGTTAATATGGGGGTAAATGGAGTTACTAAGCACTTTTGAAAGTATGAGCATTATGTGGGATAAAATCATCTGGGAGTTTAATAATTTGACAAGCACGTTTTGGGAGCTCTAATATTATGGATCAATTCATGTCAGTCGATTGCAAAATCTTTTAAAATTAAAGAGATGTTGTTGTTGCATGCAAGAGTGAAGTTCTGTTGAGGGTCTTTTTAATCAAAAAGTTCTTATGAGGGTTAGACTTATAAAGTTACATGTACGAGGTTCATAAACAAAAAAAAACTTCTTACACACGGACATTCGATTGGTATAAAAGTGGGTATAAATATGGTAACTTTCATTCATACAAATATGTATGTATCATAAGATGCAAGTTTCATTCATAGTTAAAGGATACTCCGTATTTCATAAGGAGAATTTCTAAAATCCAAGAATGTGATGTTTTGTCTAATTGAATGTTCCAAGATGCATGCATTTTGTATAATAATGTCACTTTTTATATCTTCTTCGCAATTACTACCTCCCTCTCTAACATAAATATCTTTCCACTTTCCTTTTTTGGACGTAACATTAATATCTTTCTATTTTTAAATTTTTCCCGTGATACCCTCAATAATTTTAAAAAAAATACACTATCACACCTACCTTTTTTGGATTTATCCTTCATTTCATCACATTATTTCACTATCTTCTCATCATACCCTCAAATCCTCAATAATACAAATCTCTTTTCACTGTTCTTAATCTATCTACTTTTCAAACTGGAACATCCTAATGTTACAGAAGCAGTAATTTATAGTGATTATTTATATGATATAATAGAATGGTGAATTACTTGTATACTAAAGAAATCTTATAAAACTTTCAAACAATCTTAGTACGATAGTACATGCTAAACCCCGGTTAAACGCTACCAGTTAATGGTAATGAGCATTTGCTTTGTTTTTTCATACTACTAATGGGGTGGGCATTGGATAATTGAACTCTTTAAATTACTAAAATTGAAAGAACCCTAAAATCAATTCTGGACCCACAGCAAGACATGAAAGCAAGTGGTTGAAT